CTGATGTAAGGTCCAAAGATGTAATCTTCAACACATAAGTAATTTGTTAGCGATACAGTGATTTTTTTAAAATTGGAAGGAACCAGCCATATTAGTATGTTGAAGCAGAAATAATGAGTCTTATGGCACCTTCAGAACTAGCAATGTTTTCTTGACATATTGAAGTGTGCTGTAGTGCACAAAAGCTTATGCAGAAGAAAACATGGTGGGCTTTAAGATGCCACAAGATCTTATTTTACTGAATCCCGGAACTAATTAAAGAGGATGCAGTAATAAAGAGCTCGGTGGTAGAAGCTGGTAGAATGAAACATCCCTCCCACCATTTAATCAGGCCACACACCAAGTAACTATTAAAGTATGAATTACAAGTTACATGGCGGTGAAGTGAAGATGCCCCTCATTATGTTACAACTGGAATGCCACATGGCTAGACCTTTATTTAATTAGAAATAAGTAATCATTACAAGTTATTTATGTAGTCCAGAGATATGCTGGATACAGTGAATGCCATTATTTTGACAAAGGTCATGTATCAAAATCAAATCAATGTTTGAGGCTTTATCCAGTATTGAATTCCCCTTTTCTCTTTATTGCTGTTTCACTTAAGTTGTAAGCTGGTGCTAATTAAATCCCTGGTGCTACAATCGTTAAATTCATTTCCTTTTGCTTTATTATTGATTCCCCCACCCCCTACGTTAAATTCATTTCCTTTTGCTTTATTATCGATTTTCCCCCCCATGCCTACAGCATAATCAACACGTTGCCTTGCCTTGTCCAGCAAACATGGGTTGTAAATGAAAGTATTATTCCAATTTTCTGTTGCTGCTTTTGTTATACATTTTTCTTTTGAAGGCCTTAATGATCTTTTCTGCTTCACTGTGTGTTCTGTCTGGCTTCAACACACACACAGGATTCCTCTTCCTGTTTTCAGCATCCGTCATGCAGACAGATTTTTAAAACTGTTGTTTCACCCATAGCTACTTGCCTCAGGATGAGTAGCTAATTATATTTAACTATATTAGTATTGACCACCTTATCTATCTCCTGAGAAACCTATACGTGGGACAGGAAGCAACAGTTAGAACTGGATATGGAAACACTGATTGGTTCAAAATTGGGAAAGGAGTACGACAAGGCTGTATATTGTCCCCCGGCTTATTTAACTTATATGCAGAATACATCATGCGAAAGGCCGGACTGGAGGAATCCCAAGCCGGAATTAAGATTGCCAGAAGAAATATCAACAACCTCAGATATGCAGATGATACCACTCTGATGGCAGAAAGTGAGGAGGAATTAAGGAAGCTTGTAATGAGGGTGAAAGAGGAGAGTGCAAAAAAACGGTCTGAAGCTCAACATCAAAA